TTCCTTAAGGGTAGGGGTGAAGTCCTCCATTACTATTAAAGTAATTTAAAGAATAATAAAGGGGGCCTGGGTGGCCCAGTCAGTTAAGTGTCAGACTCTTGATATTGTGATCTTGTGGTCATGAGATTGAGCCCCACTTCAGCAGAAGACTGCTTGGGATTCTCTCCATCCCTCTCTCTTTGCGCCTCCCCCCCAATAAATAAAATTAAAAAAAAAAATAGTAGAGACAATTATTATAGAATTTATATCAGTTTTAGAACCATTCAGCTTATACAGTGGACTTGTTAATTTTTAACATAATCTTGGGATTTTCACAATAAAAAATATGCATATAAATAACATGGTGTCATATAATTTTGAAGAGCCATCTGATAACAAACCCTTAGTAAAATTTAAGTATGAGTTACTCTGTATGTTAAGGGGCCAAAATGGGCACCAAATAACCTGTGTGAGTGCTACAGAGCACACTCTTGCTCAGCTTGCTGTGGTAAATGGGCAGAAGGTTAAGCCATCAGTTCATTTCCCAGTATCTACTCAACAGTGGCTTTCTTTGTGTTGCTTCACTTGTTAGAGCAATATAGCAAGTGTTATTGGGAGGTAAAACAAAGCGAGTCTTACATCAGACACTGATAGCTTTTTAAAAAGTTGGAATCAGATGTTATCGGATGTTCCAAGTACTGCATTGATAGCACATTTTTATGAAAGCCAGTGCTGCAGAGTGAACTGTATTGGAAATCAAATCAACATTATCCATCAGTGATGCTCAGGGAAATAGAAATAAATAATATGTGTTTAGTGCACCCGTTGTAGAGAATAATGTTGTGGCCTGGGGGAGTGATTAAAAAAAAAAAAACTTTTTAGAAAATTGCCAGCCATAGGTTTATTTTTCTTAGCCACTTAATTAAGGTAGACTTTATTTTCTCTATGTACAGACCTTTCATTCATACAATATAGCTTTAAACATAACATATAAAAGGGAAACCAGTTAATTTAAGTATAGCATGCTTTCAGAGGCATGAAGTGTTATTTAAGACCTTTCCTATAATGGTCATAGAGTATTTCTTGAGCATCCATACAGATTAGATCTTTAACAGCTGCATGAAGCACACAGAAGTCATGGTTCCTGCCTCTGTGAACTAACTTGAATAAAGTCTTTCATCTAAAGATCTCACTGTTTATCTATTTCATGAATCCCTCCTCTCATCTCTGAAGGGCTCATTCAGTTTACTACAGTTCAACTTTGTGGTTCAGAGCTCTAGCAATTGCTGTTGTAGCTTACAATGCACAAAAAAAGATAAAGTAATTTTAGAAATTTTTTCACTATATATTAACTAACTAGAATTTAAATAAAAATTTGAAAAAGGAATAAAAACATTTTTTAAAGACTTGGAGAAAATCAACTCTAAAACGATGTTTTTTTGGTGAAGATTTAGAATGATAAGTAGGGATTCTAACTCAAACCTAACGAGTTACGTGATCGTAAGTAAATTATATATCCTCTTAGGTATCCAGTTTCTCTGTGATTTTAACAAGGCCCAACAGAGTTAAGAGGAATAAATGTGTAGAAATGCTTATCAAGTTCATTTGTTTTATATAAATTTTGAGTGCTGTCATTCTGCCTTCTTACTCCTACTCATAATATGAGGCTCAGAAATCCCATATTCTGTATGATACGTTCTGCAACCACTTTGGAGGAATTAAACTTCATAAGTCAACTATCATATCATTTAGATGTAATTTATTAGGAAAATATCAGATGAGGAGTGCCTGGGTGGCTCAGTCAGTTGAGCGTTCGACTCTTGGTTTTGGCTCAGGTCATGATCTTGTGTTTCGTGGGATGACAGTGCAAAGCCTGCTTGGGATTCACTCTCTGGCTCTCTGCCCCTCCCCTGCTCTGACATGAACATCCTCTCTAACACAAAACAAAACTAGCTTAAACTAAAATCTAAAGAAAAGAAAATTTAAAAAATAAAAATAAAGAAAAAAAATCAGATGATCTTTTCTTTACCTGGGAACTTATATCACATATTGTCACTTATTTGGTAGTAACCATGTGTTGCCTCCCATTTTATATTGCATACTTCTTATTCCTGTCCACATATTATGACTTCTTTTAATTCAGGAATTTTTACTTATTTTAACCTTTACAAAAATTAATGTGTACTGCCTTCTAAGTATGGAACAAATTTCTGTTATTTTTTTTATTGCTTTAGGATATCCACACCTGTTTTCTTCCAATAATGGAAATGGTCAAATTCAACTGTAATTTTACAAATGAATTTATTTATTATATTAAAACCACCTGATAATAATCTTAGAAATCTGGCACGTTTACCCCCCTGCCCGCCCCCCCCCCCGCCAGGAAAAATTGAGGAAACAGAGAAACTTTGATTCAGACATTTCTAAGTCAGAATGACAGAAACACAAAAGGAGCTTGGCTCTTATACATTCGAAATAGAATAATGTAGGTGGCATTTATTCATGGAGTTAGTAGAAATTATTGGCATCAACTAAATGCTAGCCTTGTTGCTATAGCCTGGAGACATTGTGACTAAAAAAAAAAAAAAAAAAAAAAAAGACAAGATTCCTGCCTGATAGAGTTTATGTTGGGAAACAAAAAAAATTATTTAAACCAGACAGTATCATAATAAGGATTATGAATAAGTGATGTGGTATGAGAGAGAGTAACTGAGTGGAGGGTGAGCTACTTTGTATACATTGATTAGAAAAAACCTCTTAGAGAAAGACACAAAGACTTGAAGGATAGATAAGGAAATGCCTGGATTGTGGTCTGTAAATCTGGTTTTTCCCAGAAAGGAGTCAGAATTCCTTAGAAAACTAGCTTACTGCAGATCTAGAATAAGAACTGTAAAAGAAAACAAAGAAACCATCAAAGTCTGTTGGGGTCATGATGTGGGAGCCAACTGGGAGGAACTCCTTACTGACTACAGATATAACAAACAGAGCATCAAAAGAATAATGACTGCAATAAATTGAAATATGTTTATTATTCAAAATACATGAGTTCATAATGTTATTTTAAAAATTCATTGCTCACCTTTAGGCAAACTGGACAAAGAAAATATTTTCTTGCCTTTCTTTTAAGAACTGTACCTCAGGATAACCAAATAGTTAAAGAAGGGTAGCTCTTTAAAAAAGAATTCTAGGGGCGCCTGAGTGGCTTAGTTGGTTAAGTGTCCGACTTGGGCTCAGGTCATGATCTCACGGTTTGTGGGTTCAAGCCCTGTATCAGGCTCTGTGCTGACAGCTCAGAGCCTGGAGCCTGCTTTGGATTCTGTCTCCCTCTCTCTCTCTGCTCCTCCCCTGCTCTCACTCTGTCTCTCTCTCAAAAATACATAATCATTAACAGTTTTTTAAAGGAATTCCAACCAATAAATGCAGAAATTGAAATGTAAACAATTCAATTTTGATGAAATGAAATTAAATACCTAGGCAATAAAATTTTTTGTATTTTCGTATATATAATTTTGAATATTTTGTGTTAGGAAGTTTAAAAATCAGCTTAAAGGTATGGGTGGTGAGAGTTTAGCAGGTAGGAATGCAAGTGATGGGAAGATATTTCATAGAAATAGGAGTATGAAGAAGTTACAGAGGTGAAAATGTACTGTACATATTCAGAGAACACTTAATGATTGAGATCTTCAAGTATGGTATATAAATGGAAGTATTATGGCTATGCAGTTGTATGGAGTTCTCAGAATATACCTTCTGAGAAGTACCTTCTAATAGTGAAACCAAACTATTGCCAATTTCAGGAGGAACTCGAGATTCAAAGGAGCTTCTTTACAATTCCTGCTACCCTTTGGGTGCTTTGAAATAATGATAAATAGAAGCATTCAACAATGGATTTAATCAAGCCAAATTGATTTGGCAGTAGACCTTAGTTGAAAGGTGCCATGTATACAGTGCAGCATTGATTTTACCTGGGCAGCCTCTGCTTAAAGTAGGCAGTCTGTTAATTAATGTAATTGTTCTTCCTCTCAGCATTTTATTTATTCTTCTTGAAGTTGTATGGAGAGAAGAGTGTCCTAAAGTTTATGATTTCTACATGATTTCGTGAGTTTGGGCTTGCTGCTGTCAATGCAGAGCCAGCTTTGGATCCTTGCCCCCCCCCCCCCCCCGTTCCACTTGCCTACTCTTGTGTGCACTCTCTATCTCTCTGTCTCTCTCTCTCTTCTCTGTCTCTCTGTCTCTCTCTCTCTCTCACACACACACACACACACACACACACACACACACACACACACAAATAAAACAAACATTTAAAAAACCAAATAGTCTCTGTTCAAATCCTAATACCCACTGTACCTAGTGTAGATAAATAGTCTGTTTTATCCACATTCATGTTGTATGGCTAACAATAAATGGGTATATATTTCTTTGTAAAACTAATTTCTTTATTTGAAATAATCAGTGCCATGGTATTATTTAAAAAGAAAAAAAAACCTTAAAATCTGTCTTGATTCAAAATGACTAATATGGAATAGCACAGGTTCGTTAATTTCTTTTACAAGTGAATGTGTATCTTTGTCTGCTCCCAATTGAAAGTGATAGTGTCTTTCATGATCTGTGACGAGTTTGGATTTAGAAATGCAGTGCAGTGCCACCGCAGAGAAATGGTGGAAATTGAGATGTCAGGCTGTGTAATCAGAGCTCTGCAGAGGTGGGCAGGTATGCATCCTGTGATATTCCAGAGGGAGTTTGCTTTTAGCTGGTCAGGTAATTTGGTGAAGTGGAAAGCATATCAACTGAGTTTCAATTTTTCATCCTTATACTTACCCTTTCTTAAAAATGGACATGAGAGGACTGTGACAGTAATGAGACAAGTTATAATGTTCTACCATTTATCATTGGTTCTTTTGAGTTAAATTTACATTTGGGAAGATGAGATTTGCCAAGTTATGTATTTTAAGGAAAAGAGTTTTTTTAATGGCACAATACTTATTTTATAAAATATATATGTGTGTATTTTTTAACAGGGTATCCAGAAGTTGGCTAGTCAATATCTGAAGAGAGATTGGCCTGGAATAAAAGTTGATGATCGGAATGATTACAGGTAACTTAATAAGTCAATCTTGTCCATTTTCTCTAAAAATAAGTTTGCTCAGAACCATATCACATAGATAATGTAGATTTCAGTGTTTTAAAAAATTGCTTTTCTTTGCTATGTTTTTAGATATAATTTCAAAATTATCAGAAAATGTTAATATTTCACAACATATGCAAATAATCTGTATAAAATAGTTTCCTTAGGTGTTAAACTAAGGTTATGTTTTGTTTAATTGATTAATACCCATGTATGGAATTTTTAAGACGGTAGATGACAATGGAATGCAAATTGTTTCCTGAGTGATTTACCAATTAAACACGTTAGTACAACAATAATGAAACAAGATTATAGTGTTCAGCCATGGTCATTGATTCTTTAATTCTGAAATTCTAAATTTGGAATGATGAAATTTTGTGAGCCTAGGGAAAAGAGTTTCTAGGTTTTACATGCACACACACACACACACACACACACACACACACACACAGAACAGTGTATCCAGAAATTGGCTAGTCAATATCCCACATACAAATTTTAAAGAAGGTAGGTCACAATGGAATATAAATTGTGTTGTCAGTGACCTATAAAAATGTTTAAAGTTATTGTAATTTTTTTGTTTTTGTTTAGGATTTGATGTCTTTTTTTCCTTTTTTTTTTTTGAAGTTAATTTGGAAGTGATTATTGGCTTTTATCCTCAAGACTGCCCTTAGTATTTATTAAGGGAACCAGAAAGTCAGAGTCAAGATTTTAGACCTTGAAGTTAAAACTAATGCCCATGAAATGATAGCAGAGAATCCAGGATAATTAAGAACTCAGTATTCAAGTGTGTGGCTTAGAGTCTGAATATGAAATCATGTTGCTGAATTTTCAGTGAAGACTGACATCAGATAAATTCTTAACAGAGTTAGAAAATGAAAGATAAAAAAGAAATATGTAATAGTTCTTCACAATTGCAGAACTGACTGATAACTTAGAAGGTGGCATTATAGCTGTAATAGATTTGTATAATTGCAATGTGGAATAATAAGAAAATAAACAAAAATAGAGACTTTCTTGTGGACTTTCCAGTATCTTTAAAATTCAGCTAAGAGGGGAAGAGGGAGGATGTGAAATTCTAGGCAAAAGAGACAAGTAGAGCAAAAACCTTGAGTGAGAGATAGAACATTATATAGTTAAGTATTACAAGCATGAACAAAACCTGACCAAGGAAGAGATTGCTTGCTGGTGAGTAAACAAGGACTCCAATTTATAGATAGGCTATATGCTAAGTTTCTTTGAAATTCAGGATCTAGATTACCAAATTAGTAAGGATAAAAAGCCTCTGCTCCCTGGCTAGCTTGTACAACCTTATTTTTTTAAAGTATGTTAAGCCAAAAGAAAAAGTAGGTTAAGCTATCTTTTACTAAATATTTACTAAATACCAGACACTGTTAGGGACAGCAGCTTATCTCTCATGATTATCAAAACAACCCTGTGAGTTACATATAGTTATCTTCCTTTTATGTGTTAGGAAACTGTCTTAGGTTATATGCCTTGCTCAAGGTCACACAGCTATTTAGACAGTCATTGATTTACTCTTTATTAATGAGATAGATGTAAATTATCTGCTACATGGTAGCTGTTAAAGTACACTTTAGGATCAGAGAGACTGTGAGGTGTGGTGCCTGTCCTTACAGAGCCTATAGGAGATAGCTACTGTAGATAGTTGTGGTGTTCGGGGAGGAGAGGAGAGGGGTATTGGGACTATAAAGGAAAACCTGGGCTTCTAGATCTGAGTCTCAAGGAATTTACAGGAGTTTGCCAAGGTTGGGCAAAAGGAATTCTAAGCAGAAGTAGCACCTTAAGGCATGAGAAAATATGGATGTTAGGTAACTGAGCAGTCTAGCATGGGTGGTGTAAAGTATATGGGTGGGTGGATCAGAGGAGAGGTAGACCTGGAGGATACATAGACATCATGAAGGACTGGAAACTAGACAGTTGTAACACCACTTTCTCTTAGACCTACTTTTTTTTTTTTTTTTTTTTACACTTTGAGGACAGGTTGTCAGCCCTGTCTTAGTCTGTTCAGGTTGTTATAACAAAATCCCACGGCCTCCATGGCATATAAATGACAAATTTATTTCTTGCCCTTCTGGAGGCTGGAAGTCTGAGACTAGGATGACAGAATGGGTTCTGGAGATTGTTCCTCTTCTGAGTTGCAGGCTTCTCAACTTCTAGCATGTCCTTTACATGGTAGAAGGGGTTTGGGAGCTCTGTGGGGTCTTTCTTAAAAGAACATTAATTTGGGACACCTGGGAGGCTCAGTCGGTTAAGCATCTGACATCAGCTCAGGTCATGACATCAAGGTTCATGGGTTCAAGCCCCACATCAGACTCTCTGCTGTCAGCACAGAGAGCCCTTCAGAACTTCTGTCCCTTTCCCGCTCTGCCTCTCCCCTACTCACTCTCTGTCTCTCTTTCTCTCAAAAATAAGTAAACATAAAAAAATTTTTTGATAAATAAATAAAAGGGCACTAATCTGCCTATGGCCTAATCAACTCCCCAAAGCCTCACCTCCTAGTGCCATCATCTCTGTGGGTTAGGATTTCCACGTAGGAATTTTAGGGAGACACAGACATTCAGACCATAGCAAGTCCTTTCTATGTAAGTATTTCTCAGAGTTCCCTCAGCTGTCTAGTGACTGTTTTAAGTAATCTTATCTGTCTTATTCCTGTCTGTAAATATTGCCTATAAACTAGTAATGATCACATGTTTTTATTAACTCTTTAGCCTGGGAACTGAAAGGTCAGCTGCCTCCAACTTTGACTTCTTTCCAGAACTCATCTTCTCTTAGGAATATTAAGCAGCTGCTTCTCTGCCTGTGATCTCTCCCTTTCATAATTTCGTTAGCTGCAGTACCGCCAACTCCCATTATGTCTTTGTCATGGGCCTACTGTCACCCCCTGCTTGAAAATCTCCTGTGTTTCTCCTGGTCGTTAGGATAAAATTTTAAATTAAAAAAGTTTATTCATGGGGCACCTGGGTGGCTCAGTTGGTTGGGTGGCCGACTTCAGCTCAGGTCATGATCTCACAGTTCTTGGGTTCGAGCCCCACATAGGGCTCTATGCTGACTGCCAGCTCAGAGCCTGGATCCTGTTTCAGATTCTGTGTCTCCCTCTTTCTCTGACCCTCCTCTGCTCACGCTGTCTGTCTCTCAGAAACGTTAAAAAAAAAAGTTTATTCAAAGCAGTGAAGAAACCTGGCCCCAAATTACCTTTCTCTCCTCATCTCAGGCCATTTCTTCTTTTCTTATCCTTAGTTCTCTAATCTGGGAGCACCTCAAGCCATAGTCGTACTGCAGTTACCACACCTCAGCTACACTGAAATCAGTTGTCCTTCTTGCCTTTCCCTCTGTTACCTACACTTTCAGATATTCTCCCTTCTTACTAGGAAGAACATGAACTCTTATTTATTAAACACTGTATTTTCTCCCTGTTTTCAGTTACTGTATAATGCGTCTTAGATTATGAGTTTATGTATCACATTTTCTAGTCTTCTTATGTATAGCATTATGTTTTTAGTACTAGAGAAGATGTATAGTTTTGTTAATTTTTTTTTTACTTCTTGTATTGAAATAGTTGTAGATTCATGTGCAGTTGGAAAAACTACTACCGAGAGTTCTGCTTTTCACCCAGTTCTCCCAGTAGTAATACCTTACATAACTGTAGTATGTATCAGAACCAGTAAATTTATATTGATAAAACCCACCAATCTAATTCAGAATTCACCAGTTTTGCATGCACTCATTTGTGCGTGTTTTATATGCATGCATAAATTCTGTGGAGTTTTATCACATATGTAGATTTGTGTGACCATCATCACAGTCAAAGTAAATTGTTTCGTTTGTTGCTTTATTATTCTTTGTTAGAGTGAAGAGACCCTTCTTTTGTTGCTAGCATTATTACTGGGACCCAGAGCCATCTTATGTCAGGAGAAGAGGAGAGGTTTGGGAGCCAGACAGATTTGGGATCATATCTAGGCCTGATCATTCCCTCCTCTCTTTCCTCCATTTAATATGTATTGAGTGCCTTATATAGCATGCCAGACCCAGTTCTAGGTGCTGAGGATCTAAGAGTGAATAAAACAGAGCTTCTGCTGCATGGAGCCTACATTCTAGTAGGAGAAGACAAGACAATAAACATATGAAAATTAAACCTTGTGTATTGGTTTGAATAGCTATCAATGAGATGGAATCAATTATAGAACAGATTTTAGGAAAATCAGGAATTCGGTTTTGGGCATTATAGTTTTAAGATGCCTACTAAACCTCCAAGTTGGATATGGTGAATAGGCATTGGGAGATAGGAAAGATACCTGGGCTGGAAATAAAAATTCAGGAATAGTATATTGACAGTATTTAAAACCAAGAGCTTAGATGAGCTTATTTGAAGACTGAATGCAGTTAGAGAAGAGAAGCAGCTTGGGGGACTAACTTTGGGGACACTCCAGCATTTACAGTGTAGTGAGATGAAGAAGAACTAGCCAAGGAGACTAAAGAGTGGCTAGTGGGGTAGGAGTAGATCAAGAGAGAATGATGTCTTAGAATCTGAGGGAAGAACATTTTTAAAGAAGAACAAACTAGGTCAATTATGCTGACAAATTGAATAATAGGACCAAAGCTTGAATTGACCATTGGGTTAGCCAGAAGGAGATTTTTGATGACATCACAAAACACTTTCAGAAGAATGGTGGAGGTTAAGGCCTTACTTAAGTTAAATCAAGAGAGACCAGGATCAGAGTAAGTAGAAACAATAATTTCAGACCATTCTCTCAAGGAGTTATGTTGTTACAGGGAGCAGGAATTGGGGTGGTAGCTAGAGAGAAATGGATGGTTGATAGAGTATTTTTGTTTTTGTTTTTAATTTTTTAATAATTAAAAGAGAGAGAGGGAGACAACAGAATCAGAAGCAGGCTCCAGGCTCTGCACTGTCAGCACAGAACCCGACGTGGGGCTCGAACTCCTGAACAGTGGATCACTTCCTGAGCCAAAGTTGGAGGCTTAACCAACTGAGTCACCCAGGTGACCCTGTTTTTGTTTTTGTTTTTGGGTTTTTTGTTTTTTTTTAGATAGGAGACATTATAGCATATTTAGACATCCATCCAGTAGAGATGGAAAAGTTGATGTTGTAGGAGGAACCGCAATTACTGGATTGCTATTCTTGAGTGAGTTAATAGATTGTAGTGTAAATGCAAAGGGTTGGCCTTCAGAGCACAGGTAGTTCTTTCAAGTAAAAAGAAAGATGACAGAGTGTGTGGGTGCAGAAGCAGGGAGATTGGTAGATGTGGTGGGACCATATGGGCATTGTCTTCTGGTAGCTACATTATCGACTGAAAATGTGGTCATATTAGAGGTTTGAGATGAGAGGAAAAGGTGGGAAATAATTGTGTAGAAGATTGAGAGATAAGAGGATTTAGGGGAATATGGTAGAATTGCTGGGTAGCACTAAGGACTTACTAGAATTTATCAGATATCAATTTAAACTGAGACCAGGCAGCATGATTATGGTTTTTTCCAGTAACATTCCGCTGCACAGAGATTGGTATGGTGTAAACAGAACTTTGGATTTAACCAAGGTTGAAATTTTTATTTGTATAGTTTATTTTGAGAGAGAGTGTGTGTGTGCATGTGCACACAGAGGGTAGGGTTGAGAGAGAGGGAGAAGGAGAGAATCTGTTAGTGCAGAGCCAGATTCCCAAACTGCTAAATCATGACCTGAGCTGAAGTTGGATGCCTAATGACTGAGCCACTCAGGGGCCCCCAAGGTTGAAATTGTAGATTAGAATGATAGAAAGAGAAAAGGGCAAGGTAATAAGGGCATATATATAGGGAGTGAGTAGAATGGTGGACCATAAAACTTAAGCTGGATAAGGAGCTGAGAAGGCAAATATGAGAGTGGTAAGATACAGTGGGAGGTGGGGAGCGGGACAGGTAAGATAGAATGGATTGTGGGTTCTGATAGAGTTTGAGTAATAGTTGGAGTCAGAATCCTAAAGGGAATGAGTAGAAACAGAGGTGTTGGTCAGAGATTAGATGGTTAATTTGGGATTACAGCAGAGGGGTAGTTAGTAGTAATGGCAAAGTTTAGGTTATGACCCTGGGAGTGCTTTTTCCAGGTGAATAAATAGCCTTAGAGAAATTCTGCAGCCTTTCCGAGCCTTACTTTTCTCTTCTGAAAAATGGAGATAATACCTATTTTACAAACTTCACATTAAGATTAGATGATAATGTAAATGTAAAAATACATGACATATAGTATCTAGCTTGTGATAGTTTCTTAAAAGAATTTCCTTGCTTTCTTTCATAATTTTGAGCCTCATTTCCTGACCTGTGCAGAATAGCAAACTACCATAAGCATGCTTAGTATCTTATGCCACAAAATATATGGAGCCTAGTGAAATAAATTTTAAAAATCACACTACACCCATTATTGTTTTTCCTCAGTTTAATGAAGAATATCACTACCATTGCAACTATCACTATTATGTTAACAAGCACTAACATTTCTACTACAATTCTACTTCTGTTACTATTTATTCATTAAAAGAATCTCTGCCAAGGGTTTTCTTTTCTTTTTTTTTTTGCCAAGGGTTTTCACATTATTTGCATTTACTGTTATAAAATAACCCAGTGAGATACACGGTGCTGGTATATTTGTTGTTTTTGCCATTTGCCAGTTGAGGAAATGAAAGTATAGTGAAGTGTGCTACATATGATTATATTGGTTGAACTAGAACTTGAACCCAGGTCTTCTGATTAACATAACTAAATTCTTTTCATGGTGTCTCATTATTGAGAATATGTTTGCATGCCTTAGATCTGCTAATCTCTAAAGATCTCTTTTTAAACTTTAAAAAGATTTTTCTTTTTATTGTGTAGTTCTCATATATATGCATTCAATTTTTCATGCAACATGTACTTTTATAGTCTTTCTAAATGTTAGGCCATGTGTTTAGGCCCTAGGAATATGATAGAAAGACAAACATGTACCCCTACCTTCACTATAGTGAGAGTGACAGACATTGACTAACAATTACTTAAAAATATGTATAATTGAAGGAAAAATGCTGGAGCCATGTGAGTGAATAACAGAGGGACTTGATGGAGTTTGTGGGTTGGGTTGATGATGATCATGAAAGATTTATTTAAGGAAATTATATTTAAGCTGAGATCTGAAGGATGGACAATAGTCAACTAGGTTGAAGACTGAAAGGGAAAAGAGTGCTCCCTAAGGAGAGAGCTTAGCTGAAGGAATCCTCCCTCCCTCTCTCCCTCCCTTCCTTCCTCCCACCCTTCCTTCCCTCCCTCCTTTCCTTTCCTTTCCTTTCCTTTCCTTTCCTTTCCTTTCCTTTCCTTTCCTTTCCTCCTTCCTTCCTTCCTTCCTTCCTTCCTTCCTTCCTTCCTTCCTTCTTACCTCATTTCATAGTGGTCCCTTATTTTCATTATGATTTTAAAATGTATTTTAAGTGTAAATTAATAACTACAAAGCACAGTACTGAATTTTTCTCTCCGCATTCTCTGAAAAATCAATTGTTTGGACTGTTTAGGAAGGCCTGTGGTGAGTTTACCTCCCATGTTCCGTCAATTGTCATACATTAAGGCCATGGGCGAGTGTAATTTTGCTGTTTTTTTTTCCAGCTTTATTGAAAAATAATTGGCATATCTCACTGTAAGTTTAAGGTATACAGCTTGATGGTTTGATTTACATATACTGTGAAAAGATTACCACATTAGGTTTAGTTAACATCCATCATCTCATATTCATTTTGCTTTTATACTGACAGCTTTTGCTGGCACAACACACTGGATCTTTTTTCCAAAGGAAATGTGATATACTTCTGCTTGAATAAAAGAATATTTCCGTCTAAACTGATTCATTTGATGTATTACAAAAACTAATCCATTATATAAACTAATCATTTTTATCTGAAAAATATAGTTATGAGGTTTTTTTAATTCTTTTTTTCCTTTAACTTATTTGTTTATTTATTTCTTTGACACAGAATGCGCACACACACGGGCTGGGGGGAGGGGCAAAGAGAGAGGGAGAAAGAGAAAATCCTAAGCAGTTTCTCTCTCGGCGCAGTATGGAACCTGATGTGGGGCTTGATATTATGAATATGAGATCATGACCTGACCCAAAATCAAGGGTTGGACACTTAACTAACTGAGCCACCCAGATACCCCAAGGTTTTTTTTAGCTCTAAGTAGTAGCATTTATGTAGCGCAAGGTAGCATACATTGCTATAGTAGAAAATCTGTGTGGCACAAGAAGGAAGATCTTAGGAGATGATTATTATAACCCATCAGTGCAAGCATCTCATTTTTAAAATCAAAATACCCTCCATTGTTATGATAAGTTATAAAATATGTTTCACTAGTGGAGGTGCATACTAGAACTGACTAAGGAATTAACAAAGTAGAAGAGAAGCTTTGAAAGGGACATTGGCTACAAAAAACAAAAGATGAATAATTCTTTGACTTTACCAGGAGATTGCTGAGCGTATTTATCAAGTAAAGGTGATGGAACTTGCTTAGAATGATTCCAAGCCACAATGGGATGCTGGCTAAGCATTGGTACAACACAGAAACCGATGTAGAACATTGCTACCATAGAACTCTTTTGTCAGAGAAATAGACTTCTCAAGTATATAAGTGATTGTTTATGATTTTTTCCCAGCTGTATCAATTTATGTAAGAGAATAATATAATGTAGTTGAAAGAGAATGTACTTTAAAGGTACCCAGCCTTACCTATATCTCAGTACTACCATATAGCCCATCTGTATCTCAGTACTGCCATACTCTTGTGTGATCTTGAGTGATTTTTTAAATCTGTCTGAGCCTCAGTTACACCATCTCTAAATTTAGGAAAATATCTTAATGAAATAATGAAATTTGATATCCATAATGATGACCTGAGACAGTGAAAGGTCTGGAGAGTTTGAACTCACTAATTTTTATAGCATTAGCTTTGTCTGGAATTGTAATCCTTGTATTACTTTATTCCATTATCAAGAACAGTTAATGAATCAAGATAGTCTTTGCAGAGGTATAAAGGAATAAAGCATATGTAGTGTTTCTCCCTATATATGATAAAATTTTACTACCTATATAAACCACTGTAAATACATTTTCAACTATAAAAAAATCCATTCTGTTTCACAGTGCTAGCCAGTAAGCATAAAGTTAGCCAACTTTTTCCTTTTTCCTGCCTAATACTTTTCTGTCCCTCTTTGAATTTAGGAGCATGTATCCTGTTTGGAAATCTTTTCTTGAGGGAACAATGCAGGTAGCCCAGTCTCGGATCAATATATGTGAAAACTATAAAAACTTCATTTCTGAGCCTGCAAGGACAGTGAGAAGCTTAAAAGAACAACAACTAAAAAGGGTATTGTTTCTATTCTTTTCTTGTATGCATTTTAATATCTCAGTGCTCCATTTGTAATGGGTTATGTTAATTGCACCTTGAGCTTTTCTATATGGTCATAAATACTTCTGATTTCAACATAGACTTTTTTATTTCAACATGTTACTAGGATTTTTTAATGTCATCATATTCTTTCTAACTGCTGCATTTTATTAGCTGACAAAAGTAAGTATAATTTGAATCTGGACATTCTGAAACCTCAGTGAACACTTACAAATATCACTTTTCAACCTAATTCAGGTAAATAGATTTAAAATTTTCAAATAGATCTTCTTTGATGATACAGAAATCAAAAATTCATAGAAAAAAATCTCTATTAAATTTGTTTATGAGGCACTTGCTATTGAAGGTAGTTGATTAAATTGTATCCTTTTTTGGAGATCGAGTTACAAAAACAAATTATTATGATGCCGAATAAGATAATTAAATTCTTCCTATAGAAGTACTAATAGTTTAAAAAATATTTAATCATTTAAGGAAATAGTAATTCAGAAGCCATCAATTGGTTCGATTCTAATTATCATTTGGATTTTCAGAATTGTTTTACAGAATCTAAAAAAACTTAATTTTCCTTGTTTGCCAAAGATGATTTTGTAGCATAAAATCAGTATGTTAAATGTATGTTGTGTTTATATTAGATTTTCATCTCTTCCAAGCACTTGTATAATATCACTTGGTTTTATCATATCTGTATAGGAATGCTTTTGTTTTGTTCAGAATTACCTTTTTCAGAATTCCATAACCACTGACCAAACAATGCTTTTGAGTTGTAAGAAAATGTGTTGTATGTATGTTTATCTATACATGTATGCAGAGAGAGGGTAGGAGATAAAGGCAGAAGATTCATACTAGCATAGTGTCCTAACTAGGAGGAAATACTGTGTTTCAGATAGCCAGTGCATTCACCAAATCTAATTGAATTACTGGAGAATTTCTACTTTTCTCAGTATGAGAATATTTTGAGTTTCTCTTCCATTGGGAGAATAGTTTCTGCCCTGAACCAGCATTCCTGGGCAAAGAGTGTTTAATGAGATATGACAAGTCCTCATGTCTGTAAGTTACATTATATTACAGCTGAAAAAAAATGGTGTTTATGTTCCATCTAAGCAATTGTTAGACATTAGGTACATATTAGGTATACCCGTTATGACTCTGAGATTACAGGTGACAGAAACCTACTTCAAACTAGCTTAAACCAAGAAAATAATGTATTAGCTTGTATAACTGAAAATTCCAGAGGTGGATCCAGGTGGTTAAATGATGGTATTAGAATTCAGTCCCTCTTTCCATCCATTAAGTCTGTTTTCCCCTAAAGGCTTCATTCTCTAGCAACCCTCCACATGGTGGCCCCCAAAATATAGGATTTACAAATCTTACGGCTAGCAATCCCACACTTTCCATTTTCCGAAAAGTTCCAATGAAACTTCCCAAATTGAGGCTCATTGGCCTGTCTTGGGTTACAGGCCTTCCCCCAAGTTAGGGGTTACAGTCCTCATGAAAACTATATGTACTAAAAAGTACATCTATGTACTAAAAGTACTATATGTACTAAAAAGTACATCTTTGGAAAAGATGATTTTCCAAAAGAAAATTGAGACAGGTTTCCAAAGAAAAACAAGGGGAATAAAGACAGACCAAGCAAAACAACAGATAGCCACTACAATTGGTTTCTCCAGTTGTACTTACCAAGTTTTACAACAGACTGACTCCATATGGGATAAATAGATGATCTATTCTCTTTCCTTTGCTTCTCTAACCATCCCTCCATCTTTTTGTCTTTCGGATTAATCGTGTATTTTTCATTTCTTTTTTTTAACTTCAGTGTGATAAGAACAGTTAACATGAGATCTAACCTCTTAACAGATTTTTAAGTCTACACTACAGTATTGTTATCTGTAGGCACGATGTTATACAGCTAATCTTGGGCTTACTTATTTAGTATAACTGAAATTTTGGTTGGTTGGCAGTTCTCTCTTTCCTCTCCCTCCAGCCCTTGCTGACCATAATTCTGTTCTTTCCATGAGTTTGACTATTTTAGACACTTCATGTAAGTGGAATCATGCAGTATTTGTTCCTTTGTGACTGGCTTATTTCATTTAGGGGAATGTCTTGAAGGTTCACCTATGTTGTTGCATATTGTAGGGTTTCATTCTTTTTTTTTTTTTTTTCTTACAAATAGTTTATTGTCAAGTTGGTTTCCATATAACACCCAGTGCTCATCCCCACAAGGGCCCTCCTCCATGCCCATCTCCCCCCCCCCCCCCCACCCCCCCGTCCTCCCGTCCTTTCT